ACCACCTCGCACACGTGCCTGGGGATTCCTCGCCCATCTGTGCCCCCCAGTCTGTGATTTTAACTGTGTCTCCTACGAATCTTCAGCATCTGTGGCTTTGTGCAGGCTCTGAGACCACCAAGGGAGCTGCTAAATGCCACCAGCACTGCTGAGGTCTTTCAGGAAGGCTTTCAGAAAAAGAATAAAGAAAAAGAAAAAAAAAAAAACTGTTGACAAATGCATTTGAATTCATCAGTTAGCTTTCGGAGTCCATTAGTAGCTCTTTATTAGCACTGTACGCTGCTAAGTTTTCAAGTCAAAAAGTCCCACGGCACTAAGTCAAGTTTTTTACTGAAGTGAATCGTGTTAAATCCGCACTTTCTTCAAAAATGACGACGGGGTTGTTTGAACAGGCTGCTCCCACCAGGTGAGCTCTCAGGGGAGGCACAGGAAATCGTTCCTGCAAAGCAAAACGTTAAATTCTTGACTAGGAATCAGAAACGGGATTTACCAGAGGAGGAGAACAGACCACCGGCCGCGTCCCCAACCCAACCGTGCGGCACCCAGGGCGCTGCTCGGGCACGGGAGGTGACCCTGCTGCACCCACCCGGCGCTCGTAGCCCTGCGAGGCTGCGACCTGCACGGCTCTGCCCCATGCAGGGGCTGCAGCTCTCTGCAGAAACCACAGCCATTAATGGCCGGTAGCAGCCTCAGCATCCCAGCTCTGTCCCGTCCCATCACTTTGAGCCTCCAGCAGCCCCCAGTGGCACCGCGCAGCCCCCAGGACACTTCTTCTGTCCCTGCTGGGTTTTTAATCTCCTCCCCGTGTCCTTGGCATGACCTGACGCTCACTTCTCCCTGATGGCTTTAACTTCCCCTATCATTTTTCCACGTACCAGAAATTCTGATTTGCAGTGATTTCTGTTCCAGCCGGCTCCGTTCATTGCGCATCGCTTTGTGGCCCGGGTTCCTAAGGAAACACTTCGAGATCTCATCCAGGGGGGGTTATTCAAGCGGCTGCCCCCGAGGAAGCCCCAGTGAGCTCCAGCAGGGGCTGGGCTCCGCAGGACGACTTCCCTGCTGTGCTCCAGGTGCTCTGCTCCTTGCAGGCCCCTCCAGCCCGTGGTCTGGCAATATGAATCAGGGGAAATGTATAAATGAGCTTTTCTGACCACAGAAACAGACACAGCAAAAGAAAACACGAGCTCAGGAGGAGAAAGTCTTATTTTCATGGGCCCCTACAAGAGATGGGCTGCAATGCTCCCCGGATTCAGGGCACGAAGCGGTGGAGGAAGAGGAGGACGAGGATGAGGACAAGGAGGAAGATGAGGAGAACATCATCCTGGTGGTGATGCAGGGTGCCCATGGCCATGGCAGAGCTGCCCTGTGTCACCGTGGGGCATCTGGAGGTCCAGGTCCCAGGGTCCCCGTGGCCTTGGGGCAACTGCTGGCAGAAAAGCCCCGGGACCACCACAGGGCCCTGCAGGCAGCACCGCACCGGGGGCCTCTGGTGCTGCAGAGCACCCAAGGGTCCCGCACCGGAGCAGGGCAGCGAGGAGGGGACGGGCCCTGTGGGCTCTGGGTGACAGTGAGGGGCACGGAGCAGCCACCCCACACCACGTCAAACCATCACGGGCAGATCTCCAAGGGGCTGTGGAGGGAGGCGATGCCAGCCCCTGGTGCACCGCAGCCGTGCAGCCGCTCGTTAGCTCCACGCGCCTCGCAGCCCTGTAATTTGCCTTATCAGCACTTGGGAGCAGCAGCGGCAGTGCCTGCGTCCTGCTGCTGTCTGATGGAGCCCTCCTGAGCAGCCGGTGCTGTTCTAGCCATGGACATCACCGATCTGCTGGTGCCAACCCCTGCTCCTTGCTGCCCGTGCCCCGCTGCCCACCCTGAGCCTTTTACGCACACACGGTGCTCTCCTTTTCCTCGTGCTGCCAGCACAAAGCTGATCCGTGACACCAGGAAACTTTCTGTGTCATCAGGATCGGAGCTCTTTAATCTATAATGCCTCGCAAAGCCTTGGAAGCAGGGGGATTGGCAACAGGAGCGCTCAGCCTGGAGGCGTGCGGCATGGGGCGGCGAGGGGCGAGAGGAACTGCAGCACCGCAGGCAGGATGGGTGCCACAAAAAGCAGGGTGCCAGGGTGCCGGGGTGAGGTTTGCCATCTGCCAGCCCCGTGCTCGGCACCACGCAGGCGGCAGCCCCGGTGCTGACACAGCCGCGGTGCCGGGAGCCTGAGGCACCCTCACATGGCAGAGGTGCCGCTGCTATTTTGGGGCCGTGACTGCAACTCGGGGAAACAGCCAACCCCAAATGTTCCTTCAGCGCTCTATGCCAGTATGGGCTGGCATACGGGGTGGGCATGGGGGCACGACTGCAACCAGCACCCCCCCGGCACGGCCCCGCAGCCGGTGCTGGCAGCAGCTGTGACACCCCGAATGCTGAAGGCAAAGGTGCAGAGACTGGAATTTAACCCCGGGGGAGGTGAGGACCCGGAGCAGGGTGTGCAGTGTGCTCACCCCAGGAGCTCCCCATCACCTCCTGGGGCCGTGGGGCTGGGGCTGGGGCTGGTTGGGGCCGGGCACCCACCCCGGGGGTCCCCGGGTGCCTCAGGGGCTGGGGCAGGTGGCAGAGCCCATGAGTGCCCCCAGCCCCCCTCCCCGCTGTCTCGCCCCTTTTTGTCCCCATCACCACAGCGGGGGCTCCCCCCATGCTGCGGGAGGCTGGAGCTGGCTCCTGTTCATCCCCTAAAGCCTGTCTGGGCAGGCATTATCTGGGAGCGATTTTGAAATTGCTGCTGATAAAATTAGTGGATTTCACAAAAAAAAAAAGGAGCGGAATGATAAACAGCAATTACAGAGCAGACGCAGAGAGAAGCAGATATCTTGGCAAGCCAGCCCCATGCAAACACACATCCATCTCCCCGGGAATGCAAACTGCAGCCCCAAGCCGAGGAAATCGGGCTTTGCTCTAGGAAGCAAAGAATCCAAGAGGGATTTAGGGGTCGTGCGTTGAGGTAATTCGATGCAGAACAGCCCCGGGAGCGGCCAGAGCTTCGCTGGGGGTTAACCGAGGGGGGGACGAGCGGGGTGGGGAGCAGGGGGGCCTCGTTGAGGGCTGCGCCAACACAACGCCCCCGCCAGCTCGGAAGATGGGGGGGCTGCATGGGAAGGGGGAGCTGCACCGTGGGGCTCAGCCGAACCGAGGGAATCTGCGCCTGCAGAGCCTGTCAGCGAGGTTCTGTGCTGCCGAGCAGGAGCACGGTGCCAGCCCGGTGCCTGGGCTGCTGCTGGGCTCACCCTGCGTCCCCCTGCGTCCCCCAGCGTCCCCCAGCGTCCCTGTCCTGCCCGGGCTGAGACACAGCTCTGCACACAGCGAGCTTAAAAATAAACCAGGGAAATATTTTTACATTTGGTAAAAGGCTGAAGGAGGAGGAGGAGGAGCGCAGCAGCAGTGCCGGAGAGGGCTGCGGGAGCTGGTGCTCATCCATCCCCTCACCCCAAGGCTGCTGGCTGACCAGGTTCCTGCGAAATATTGAGCCTGCCCTTAAAAACCTGCAGTGACGGGGAGCCGACAGCTTCTGCTCTATTCCTGTGCTCGGTTATTCTTAGAAAATTACCAAACTTTGAGCTCCCCTTCTGGAGGTTCGGCAGCCGATTCCCCCTCCCTCCCCCCCCCCGCTATCAGCTCTCCCCACGTTTCGGGGCGTTGCGGAGCCGTCGCCGCCGTCTCCTCTCCCAGCTGGAGCCTTCCCACGCTCCCGGCCTTTCTCACAAGCTCGTGGCCTCGGCTCGCTCTGCTGCTCGTGCTCGGGGTCTCTCCCGCTCCTCCCGGCCTCCCCCCAGCCCAGGGACCCCCCTCTCCCGCTGCAGCCCCCCCAGCAGCATCTCACCCAGAAATGTTCACAAATTTGACAATTTCTGACCCTTTCCAAACCCAGCAGCGCAGTGTGCTCGCAGCCCCCCTCAGCTCTGTCCCCATGGCTGGGGGCTGTGCACCCCCTGCACCCCCCACACCCCCTGCACCCCCACAGCCCCCACCTGGCTCCAACCCAGGGCGCCCTGGCCCCGTGCACCGGGGGGCAGCGGCTGCACTGACCCCACGGCACTGCGGGTGGTGGGAGCCAGAGCCCGAGGTCGGAGCACTCACGGGGGGCTGGGGTCTCTCCTAACGGGAATTCGGTGCCCGGCCCCGTGCCCCCAGCACCTCCCCACACCTCGCAGGGGAGGAGGGGGGCAGGAAGCCTCGGCCCCCCCAGCAGCCACCAGGCACGCGGTGGGGCTGGCATTGGGGAGCTCCTCGGGCAGGGGGCAGCGGCTGGGTGGGGAGGGGGCTGACAGCGGGATGTGACCCCCACAACAGCTGTACCTATGGGCAGGGGCAGGGTTGGGGTCAGGGGCAGGGTTGGGGTCAAGGTCAGGGTCAAGGTCAGGGTCAGGGATGGGGTCAGGGATGGGGTCAGTGTCGGGGTCGGGGTCAGGGTTGGGGTCAGGGTTGGGGTCAGGGTCAGTATCAGGGCCAGGGTCAGGGATGGGGTCAGGGATGGGGTCAGTGTCGGGGTCGGGGTCAGGGTTGGGGTCAGGGTCAGGGTCGGGGTCAGGGATGGGGTCAGAGTCAGGGTCAGGGTTGGGGTCAGGGTTGGGGTCAGAGTCAGGGTCAGGGTTGGGGTCAGGGTTGGGGTCAGGGTGGGGGTCAGGGTCGGGGTTGGGGTCAGGGATGGGGTCAGGGTCAGGGATGGGGTCAGGGATGGGTCGGGGTCAGGGATGGGGTCAGGGTCAGGGGGCTTTCCCCCCGCAGCACCTGCAGCCGCCAAAGGGCCTGGGCGCTGCTGCTTGGAAAGGGACCGAGGGGCGCCCCCGGCCCGACCCCCGCCCCGCCCCCCCCGTCCAGCCCGGCAGAGAACTACAACCCCCGGCATGCCCCGCGCGGGGAGCGCCTCCGCGCATGCGCCGCTCCTCTTCCGACCCCTCCTCCCCGCCCCGCCCCTCCGGACTACAGCTCCCGGCGTGCCCCGCGCGGCCACCCCGGCCGGGCGCTCCCGGCGTGCCCCGCGCGGGCGGAAGCGGAGCGCGGCGCGATGGCGGCCGGTGAGGGGGGCGGGCGGCGGGCGGGGGCCGCGGCTCGGGGCCCGGCGGGCTGACGGCGCCGCTCTGTGCCCGCAGGTCGGTAGCCGCCGCCGCCGCCGCCGCCATGGCGCTGATCGAGGGCGTGGGCGACGAGGTGACCGTGCTGTTCGCGCTGCTGCTGGCCGCCCTGGTGCTGGGCCTCGCCTGGGCCTCCACGCGCGCCCCCGAGCCCGCCGCGCCGCCCCGCGCCGCCCCCCCGCTGCCCGAGCAGGGCCCCAGCGCCGCCCCGGCCGCCGCCGCACAGCACAAGGCCCCCGGCCCGGCCCCGGCCCCGGCCCCGGCGGGCGGAGCGGCCCCCGATGGGCCGGGCGGGCCGGCGGCGGGGCTGCGGCCCCGGGCGGGCCCCGCGGCAGCGCGGCAGGGCCCCGGCGGCGAGGAGGAGGCCGGGCCCGGGGAGCCCGGCATGGTGCTGCGCCTCAAGTTCCTCAACGACACCGAGCGCCTGGCCCGGGTGCGCCCCGGGGACACCGTGGGGGCCCTCAAGAGGTGAGCAAGGGGCAGGCGCCGCCCCGGGGAGGTCCCGGTCCCGGCCCCGCCGCCAGGTGGCAGCCTCGCTGCTGGGGCTGTGGCGGGGCCGGGCGGTCCCCGGGGCGCTGCAGCAGGGGGCGGGCAGGGGGAGCAGCGCTGGCGGGAGCGTGACCCCCGCTGTGCCCCCCCCGTTGTGCCCCCCCCAGGGCCTACTTCCCGGGGCAGGAGCAGCAGGTGCGGCTGATCTACCAGGGGCAGCTGCTGCGCGACGACGCCCAGAGCCTGTCCGCCCTGCACCTCACCCACAACAGCGTCCTGCACTGCCACATCTCCCAGCACAGCCCGGCCCCCGCGCCCGCCGGCCCCCACGCCTCCGCCGACCCCGTGCACGCCGCCCTCAACGTGGGCAGCCTGATGCTGCCGCTCTTCGTGCTGATGCTGGCCGTGCTCTGGTACTTCCAGCTGCAGTACCGCCACGTCTTCACCGCCACCGCCACCACCTTCCTGGCTGGCCTCACCCTGCTCTTCAGCTTCATGGCCTTCACCATGTACCGCAGATAGCGCTGCCCCGGGGGACCCTCCCGCCGGATCCCCGCGGTGCCGGGGGGAGCTCATCCGCTGCTCCCGAACTCGGGGGGAGCCCGGGCGATCGCCTGCGGCCCCACCGCCCCTGGGGGCCGTGAGACTCAGCGTGCCCGGAGGAGCCGGGGCAGCCCCCAGCCCTGCTGCAGGGGTGCATGGACACGCAGCCCGGCCCCGCCGGCACCGGACCCTTGCCTGGCGTGGGGCGAAGCGCTCTGCTGGGGTGGGCGGCAGCGGCCGGGGGTAGTGGACGGGATGGGTGGGGGGGCCCTGGGGTGCCCCTGAGCCCCCCGCTGGCTCCCGGTGCCGGTGCGCCCCCCCCAGCCCTGTGCCCGTGGTGCCGGGGCCAGGACTCCGGGCGGTGCCGGGCACTGAGGGGGGGCCCGGAGCTGGGTGGGAGGTGGGGAGGGGGGCTGCACGCCGGGGGCACGCGGAGCCCGCGCTGCTTTTAAGATTAAAAAGGAGAAAAACGGAAAAATGCTGCCAGAGCCTGGGGGGGGCGGGGTGGGAGGGAGGGAGGCCACGCCCACTCTGCGAGGCCACGCCCATTTCCGTGAGGCCACGCCTCCACGTGTAGCCACGCCCCCTCGCGGCGGGGGGCGGGGCCTCCCGCTGGGTGCACGCGCTCCGCAGCCCCGCACCGCGCCTGCGCCGTCACAGCCGGCCCCGCCCCTCCCGGGCCTCGCTCCCTGATTGGCCGAGGCTCCTCGCACGCCCCGCCCCGGAAGTGCGTCCCGCGCGCGGGGGGCGGTCCCCGGTGCGCCGCGGGGGCTGTCGGGAAGATGGCGGGCTCGGCGGCCGGGCGGCGCTGAGCGCGGGGCGCGGCGGGTCCCGGGCGGCCGCGAGCGCCATGTACGGGGGGGGCGGGGCCTAGGGGGGAGGGGGCGGGGCCTGGCGGGGGGGCGGGGCCGGAACCGGGCCGGGAACCGGGGCTGGGGGGGGGCCGGGGCGGGTACCGCGGGGGGTCGGGGCCGGGCTGGGCCGCACCGAGCCCGGTCCCGGCCCCGCTGAGCGCCGCCCGTTGCTCCCCGCAGGCTGCCCCGGCCGCTCGGAGCCCCCCGCGCCGGCCCGGCCCCGCCATGCTGCGCCTGCCGCCGTGGCTCCGCGCCCTGAGCCGCCCCGGGGCGCGGGGCGCGGCGGGCGCTGAGGGCGGCGGGGCCGGGACCGGGAGCGGAACCGGGATCAGGACCGGGAGCGGGGCCGGGATGCTGCCCGGCTGCTCGTGCGGCGGCAGGGCCGGGCCCCGCGCCGTGCTGCTGCCGCTGGACGCCTACGGCCATGGGCTGCTGCGAGCCGTGCCCAGCGACGGCTGCCGGGCGCGGGGCCCCGCTAAGAGGCGCGGCTGGAGCTTCGTGCAGGAGCGGATGAGCTACGACACCTTCTTCACCATGAAGCGCCTGATCGAGCGCTCGCGCAGCGTGGGCGAGGTGCTGCGCTGGGTGACGCAGAACCCGGGCAAGGTGTCGGCCAGCCACTACCCCATCGCCCTGCACAAGCTGGGGCAGCTCCTGCAGCAGCAGCAGCAGCAGCAGCAGGGCCCGGCCGCCCTCAGCGGGGACAGCCGCGGGCCCGGCGCCGTGCTGGAGCAGCCCGAGTTCCAGACCTTGTGCCAGGCCATCATCAGCGGCTGCCCCAAGTTCGACAACTTCAGCATCGTCAACTGCCTCTACGCTGCCGCGGCCCTGGGTGAGTGGCCCACGGGGGTCCCCTGAGCGTCCCGCGAGGGTCCCGTGCCCGGGGCGGGGCCGTGGGGTGCAGCAGGTGCTCGGAGGTGGCACGGGGAAGGGGAGCCACGGGTCCTGGTGCGCAGGGGGCCCAAGGGGGCTGCTCCTGCAGGAGCCGGGGGCTCCGCTCCCCGCGTGTTCCCTGCCCAGGAAGCAGCCTCCCAGCAGCTCCGGGTTCCCACCCCCTGCCGCAGCCCCTCTGGCCTTGTTGCCTCCTTTCCGTCCCGCAGGCAGCGTCCCCAGAGCCCCCTTGTTAGCCTGATTAGGGCCTCGCAGGGCTCTGTTTTCCTCCCGCCCGGTGTGCAGGGATTACGTCTGGTGGCTGCCTGTGGCAGCAGGAGCCTGCCCTCCCCGCCCCGTGCCCCACGCTGCCGCCCAGCCTCTCCTTGGCTCTGTGCTGCCCGTTCCCAGCTGCCTGGCGGGGGCCGTGCAGGACTCGGGGCCCTGCCAGAGGCGGGGGGAGGTCTGTGCCCCCCGCGGCCTCGCGGTGCTTTGTGTGTGTTGGCGCCGAGCTGCGGGCTGTCGGCCGCCTCTGCCCGGAGCTGGGCTCCCCCAGCCCGCTCTGGTTTTGCCCCACACTTTGTTCCCGGAGCCGCCCCTCCCTGCTCAGCGGCTCGTTAATAAAAGCCCTAACCCGGCTCTCCGAGGGCTGCCCGGGGAACAAAGCAGCTGCTCAGACCAATTCTTCACTTCCCACCTCCTGACCGCTTCCCGGCTGACGGTAACGCGCCGCGACGTGCCCCATGCTGCCCGGCCCTCCTTAAACCCCTTTTAAAAACCCAAATCTTGTCAGCTGGCGCGGGAGATCAGTGGGCTGCAGGAGCCTCATACGGTGCGCGTAACGCTCCGTGCGCCCGCTGGAAATATCCCTCCTGACACGCCAGGCTTGGCCTTTGCCATTTTTCGTAACCGCGCTGCGCACGTGGCCTCTGGTGGCCTCTCGTCCCTCTGTGGGTGGATAATGAGCCCGGAGCTGGGGAGCAGTGAGTGAAAAAAGCTCCCTGGGAGCTGAGTGCGAAGGGCTGCATCCGAGCTACAAAATGGGAGAGGAGAAAGTTGGAAATGTGCAAAGAGCAACTCCAGCTGCATGGGCAGGGGTTGTTTGGTGGCGTGCCGACGCCTCGCCTGTTCTCTAAGCAAGGCTTTGAGCGCCTCGAGGTGCGGTATTCGGCCTGGGGAGCTCTGGGGCCAGGAAATCCGCCTTGTTTTGCAGTTAAGTCAAAGGATTTCTGCGTTGGGGTGGCTGGGGACGCTCTGAGGGGTTTGCCCCGCGGTGCTGACAGCCCGGCCCGCTCCCCCAGAGCCCTGCACTTCCCTCGTCCCCTCCCTGGCCCACGCCCCGTGGCAGACCCAAACTCCTCGGGCTGCGTTCTCGTGCCCCGGCCCGCGAGCACGAGAGGAGAGGGAGCTGGTGGGGGGTCCCTAACCCCGTCCCTCCCGCAGGCCTGCCCGGGGAGTCGCCGCTGGTGCGGGTGCTGGAGGAGGAGTCGCGCAGCCGCCTGGGCCGCTTCAACCAGAAGGACGTGTCCATGGTGTTCAGCAGCGTGATGAGGCTGCACCCGTCCAGCCCGCACCCCCTGGTGGAGTCGTGCCTCAGCAGCCTGGAGCGGCACCTGGAGAAGGAGCGGCACCCCCAGACCCTCTTCCTGCTGCTCTCCTACTACCGGCTGCGCGCGCAGGCGCTGCAGGGCCACCCGGCCTCGGACCAGCAGCTCATCAACAACCGCAAGATCCTGCGGCTCGTCAGGCACACGCTGGGGCAGGTCAGCGCCATGCGCGAGCACGAGCTGGCCCTGCTGGACGAGATGCTGGCCCTGTGCGCCCAGGAGGCCAACAACAAGGCCCTGGAGGCCATCTTCAGCTCCCAGCTCTTCTACGAGAACCGCCAGGAGCGATTCATCCGCAGCATGGCAGGTAGGGGCAGGGTTCCAGCCCGCCGTCGGTCCCTCCCCGGGGACTCGGTGCCCTCTGCAGCCTCACGGCCTCATTTCCAACCCCAGAGCTCCCCTGGGGCTGTGCCAGCGCCAGCTGGGGCCGTGCGGAGCTCCAGGCCTGCAGTGCTGGCAGCTGGAGGCCCCAAATGCTTCTGCAGCACCCTGTGGGTGAGCCCCTGCCCTGCCCCTTGTGCTGTGTGCGGGGGCAGCGGGGCTGCTCCCTGGGGGCTCTGCAGAGCGGCCCCCACCCCCTGCGCTCCGGGGCTCTTTGCCTGGGTGCCCGGGACAGGAACCCCTCGGCCAGGAGCCCGCTGACTCCGTGTTTGCCTGGGAGCTGCTCGGATCCTGGATCCGTTGCCAGGCTCCTGTCGCCTCCCCCTGCCCCTCGCCTCTGGGGAGCTGCAGCTCGGGGCCGGCAGCCCGGTGACACCCGCGGCGCTGTGCCCTGCAGAGTGGCTTCCCCGCAAGGCGGAGAACCTGACGCCCTACACCATGGCCCTGATCGCCAAGTACGTGGCCCGGCACCGCCTGCGCGAGCCGCGGCTGCTCGATACCATCGCCAGCTTCCTGCTGAAGCGCGGGGAGCAGCTGGACAGCAAGGTGAGCCTCGCGCCCGCCCCGCGCCCGGCACGGGGCTGCCCGCGGGGCCCGGCCCGACTCCGTCTCCCTCCGGCCGCAGGTGATCCAGAAGCTGGTGTTTCCCTTCAGCCGCATGAACTACCGGCCCTCCAACCACGGCGAGCTCTTCCCCAAGCTGGAGGCCATCCTGGAGCAGAAGGCGGGCAGCTCGCCCCTGGCCACCGTCAACATCCTGATGTCCATGTTCCAGCTCAGCCACTTCCCCCAGGCCGTCCTGCACCAGGTCTTCTCCCCGGCCTTCATCACCAACGTTATGAGTACGTCGCGCCCTCCCCAGGGTAACCGCGGCCCTTAAGGCGTGGCGGTGAGGTGGAGGTGGGTCTGGACAGCCCCGGGGCCGAGCGGACCCCTCGGGGGGTGCTCGGGGGCGCGCGGCGGGGCGCAGGGGAGCCGCGGGGCCGCCTCCAGCCGCCCGTTCCCCTCCCCCTCCCCGCAGGCAGCCCCTACGCCCTCATCGTGCGCCGCTACCTCTCGCTGCTGGACGCGGCCGTGGAGCTGGAGTTCCGCGACTACAGCGGCCCCCGCCTCGACCCGCGCTACCGCGTCCTGATGTTCGAGCACGCGCTGACGGCCGACGAGGCCAACAGGAAGTACAGGTGAGGGGATTTTGGGGTCAGCACCGGCCCCACGGGCACCCCTGCTGCCTGTCCCCTGCAGCACGGCACCGTGCGGGGCTGGGGGGTGCCTGTGGGGCGGGCTGGGGGCCTCGTGATCCCGTCCCGACCCCTCTTTCCTTGCCCAGTTACAAGGGGCTGGTGGCCGAGGCGCTGCGGCAGCTGGTGGGAGAGGAGTGCTACCGGCAGGACGAGGTGCTGCCCCCCGGATACTGCACAGGTAGCTGCCGGCCGGGCTGGGTGCTTGGGGGGGCTGCAGCCCGGTGCCTTTGGGGTTTTCTTGGGGCAGAGCTGGCCCCGTTGCTGCTCGCTGCCCCCCCCAGCACAGCCCGGGCATCGTGGGGCTCCCTGGGGCCGTGGAGCTGGCACAGGGTAGGTTCACAGGCGCGGCGCTGACCCCGTGCTGTCCCCGCAGACTTCCTGCTGTGGATCAACCGCTCGGGCACGGTGCTGCCCCTCTCCCGCGTCCCCGCAGCTTCCAAGGCTCCTCCTGCCCCTGCCGCGGCCTCCCCCGCCACCGTCTCCCTGCGCTCCAGCGTGCTGGCCCTCACCTCGGACTTGCAGGACTTTGCCCCGTTCGCCCCGGAGACGCCGGGCAGCCCCCCGGCCCCCCGGGAGAACAACCTGGCGGGGCGCTTCCTCTCCACGCTCTGCCCAGGCGCCGGGGGGGCCCTGCTACCAGCCCCCCGCGGACTATTACTGCGGCCTGAGCAAAGAGTCCTCCCTGGAGAGCCAGGGCAGCTCCACCCTCAGCAGCCCCTCTGAGTGCCTCTCGGCGCCGCCCGCCAGTACCCCCGACTGCTCCCCCCGGGGCTCCGCCACCCTCTTCCAGTTCCCCATCGGCAAGATCCTGGAGGAGGAGGCGGGGGTCGCCTGCCCCCCCCGCGAGCACGGCTGCTTCCAGGGGGATCAGGCACCGGAGGAGGTGGACTGGACGGAGCCCCCCGCCCGCCGAGGACGCCTGCCCCCCGCCCTCCCCGTGCCGGCCCAGCCCCAGCCGGGGGCCCGGCGAGGGGCCGCCGGCAGCCGAGGAGATCCAGAGGTATGAGCACAGCCCCCGCGCTCCCCCACCCCGTGCCCTGTGGGGTCAGGAACCTGGGGCAGCAGCGTGTCCTGCACGGGGCACGGCTGCTCCCCAACCACCACGGGAGGGGGGGGCCCTTCCCCTGCTGCCCTCCTGCGTGGTCCTGGGGAGGCGGATGCAGGTGCAGCCCCCTTGGGTGCAGCCCGCGGCGCTGCCCTCCTGTCGCTGTGTCCCTGCAGGGTGGTGCTGTCGGTCAATGACAAGTGGCATTACTGCCAGAACTCCGACATCCTGGTGGGCTCACGCGCCATGCGGGACAGGCACCTGCGGCTGCTGGGCTACTGTCTGGTGCAGGTGAGTGCCTGCGTGGCTCCAGACCCCCTCCTCGGGCAGAATCCCCTCCTCCTTGTGGCATGGGGCGGGGGGGTGGGAGCTGGTGTCACTGCCACGGAGCTGCCCTGATACTGCTTTTGGAGGCCGGGTGGCTTTGGGAGGTGGCAGCGAGCCCTCGGCCATCGCCCCGGTGTCTCTGTGCGCTTTGGGTGTTCTGTGACATGTTCAGGAGGTGCCTGCCCGGGGGGCTTCCTGCCACGAGCACCCTGCGCCCACCCCGCGTGCCCCCCGCAGGCAGTGGCAGGCAGTAGAGGGGTCGGACACCGCAGCGGTGCCACGTGGCTCCGTGGTTCTGCTCCCTGTGCTCGTGGTTGCTGAGCTCTCCCTGCTCCTTTGGGCGGCCCTGACAAAAAGGAGGTCCCCGGGCAGTTCTATTTCTTCCTGAGCTCAGGCCCCGTCCCAGCTCAGCTCTTCTTGCTCTTCCTGTATGAGGTTTGCTTCCTCCTGGGGCACTGCCCGGGGCAGGGCTCTGTGGGGCAGGCTGCTCGGTCCCACAGCCCCGTCCCAGACACCTCCAGCACTGTTGGTTTGCTGTTCCCTGGGTAACCCGCCCCAGTGTCCCGTTGTGCTCACGGACAGAGCCTTTCCTTACACGTCAGGAAGCATCCTGCTGAGGTTTAACTGGGATTTCCCATATTTTAGGTGTGCCCATTGCCTCGGTCCCTTCCCTGGCACCACTTGGGGTCTGGCTCTGTCCCTAGCACCTCCTCTGGGGTACCTGTGGGTGCGGTGCCCCCAGTCCTTCCCCAGCCTGAGCCTGTCCCGGTGCCCGGGGCTGTTCTGGCTGCAGGACCCGGCCCTGGGGCCCTGCCCAGGGGCAGCGCAGGGACCTGTGGCCCTGTGCCAGCCGTGGCCCTGCCGCCTGCAGCCTCGTTAGGGCGCTCAGCGTCATTTAGCTCGTTAGTGAGGGTGTGAAATGCCTCTGGCCCCGTGCTGCCTCCTGGGGCGTGCTGCCAGGGGCTTGGCTGCAGCTGGACCTTGTGCTCTGCTCTCAGCCCTCAGGGCTGATTTACGTCCTGCTGCTGCCCGCGGGGCTGCCACCTGCCTGCGGGGCCGCCCTGTGCTGCTGGCACAGCCCCACTGTGTCCCTGTCCCCCTCCCCGAGGTGCCAGCTCCGTGCTGTGCGCTGCTGGGCCAGGACCTCTCCAGGCTCTGTGCCCCGTCCCTGCAGGGTGCTCTGCGTTGGCCCCGCTTCTCTGTGAGCTCCTGGGCTGGCTGCTGGGGGGGGGCTGAGCAGCGCCGGGTGCCTGTGGTGTAACAGGGACCCCCCCCAGGGCCCCCCCTGCCACATGTGGGGCACTTCCCCCTGGCCCCTTCCGGCCCCGTGCCCAGCTCCGTGGCCGCCTCTGCAGGGCTGGAGCCTGCGGTTTCCTCGGTTTCCTCCATCCCCGGGGCAGGGGGGGGCAGGGGGGCAGGGGAAGGTTTCCTCTGCAGCCTGAGAGTGCTCCGGGGCAGCACCAGTCCTGTACCCGTCCTGTGGGGCAGTGTGACAGGGTGGCCCCCCTGCTGCCCCCCCTCATGCATCAGGGTCTGGGGGCACAGGGGATCATTTAGGGTCCCTGGTGGGCTGCAGGACAGCAGCGTGTGGGGTCAGGGTGAGCGGGGCTCAGCTCGGGGCTCTCCTCTGCCGGGGGGTTGCATGTGGGGGGCTGCTGGGCCCCATCCCCTGCTCCATGGCCGCAGTCCCAATCCCATCTGCGGGGCAGAGACCCCAGGGCCGCCCCCTCCCCTCTCCCAGTGGCTTTGCAGTTTGTCCTGCACCCTGTGCCTGGGGTAGGGGCTCCAGGGGGGGCTGGGGGTGCAGCTGGAGCTCTGAGCCCTGCAGGGTCCTGGCTCTGCCCAGGTGTGGGGCTGGGGAAGGGTCCTGAGTCCCGTCCCTCCCCAGCCCCTGCTCCTCTGGGGTCTGCCCGTGCCTGGGGGGGCTGAGGGGGGGTGGGAGGCAGCCTGTGGGGCTGCACTGACGCCCCCAGTCCCGTTTCAGCTGCCCTACACGGAGCTGGAGAAGGTGAGTGGCATCGAGGAGGCCAAGCACTACCTGCGGCAGAAGCTGAGGGAGCTGCGCTTCTGAGGGGGGGGCTCGGCCCTCGCCGGGTGGGCGCTGGGGCGGGCGCAGAGCCCCTGCCAGGGGCTGGGGGGGGGGAGGAACGGAGCCGCCCCCTTCCCGTGGGGAGCGGGGCTCGGCCGCGGGCACCTGCTGCGCGCCGTGGGGCCGGGGTGGTGTGAGCTATTTATTGCCGTGAGCGTGGGGATGGGGGCGCGACGGGGCCGCTGCGTGGCGGGGCCGGGGGCTGCGTGGCCCCTGACGGCCCCCCCTCGGCCCCGGGGTCGCTGGAGGGGTCTGGTGGTCCTAGGGGATAGGGGGGGGGCCGGGGCCCCCGAAACACTGCTGGGGGGGGGGGGAGGCTCCGCCGGGCCCCCCCGTAGGGGCAGTGGCAGCCCCGCAGTGGGGCAGGAGGGGGTCGGGCAGGGCCGCGGCCACTTGCACAGGGGCTGCTCCCTGGGCGGGAGGAGGGGGGTGCTTGGGACTGCGGGGGTTAAATTTACAATAAAACTGGTGAAAAGTGTGCAAAGTCCGGTCTCTTTATTCATCCGAGGCTGCGGGCTGCCCCCAGCCCCAGGGAGCTGCCAGGGGGGTGGCCGCGGGTCCCCAGGGCCAGCAGCCCCCCTGCCACGGGCGCTGCGCGGGTGCTGCCCCCAGCCCTGCCCTGGGCGCTCCTGGTCCCGCCGCGCTCGCTGCCAAGCTGTTTGGTTCTTGCCAGTGCAGTTACATGAAACGCGGTGGCGGGCGGCTCTAACGCCTGATTGTCGGGCCGGGGTGGCAGAGGAGCTGGGGCAGGGCACGGGAGTGCTGGGGGGGCTCTGCCCCACGGCGCACTTGGGACGTGGCCGGGGGGGGGACCAAAGGCACGAGCCCCCCGCGCTGCAGCGGCGGCGAGCGGGGTGCCCCAGGGGGTCCCCATGGGGTGAGGCCGCGGGACGGCTTCTCTTTGGCAGGGGGCCCCCGGCCGGCACAGCGGAGCCCCGGGGGCATGGGGGGCACGGGGGGGCCCGTCCCCGGCTGCGCAGCCGCTGCCCCCAGCCCCGCGCGGGGCGGCAGCACCGGGGCCCCGCGGGCGGCTCGCGGGCTGGCACAGGCTCACACCGGCATCGGCATCTCGTTGTACTCGTCCACACCTTCCCGCTCGTCGAGGATGGGCTCGGCCTCGTCTGCGTCCAGCTGGGGGAGCGGGGGGCTGAGCGTGCAGCGGGGGCTCCCCCGACCCCCCACCACCACCCCCCTGCCACCCCCGTGTCCCTCCCCGAGGAGGGCGCCGCGGCGCACGGCGGGGCCAGGTACTTACACACTTCATCTCGCGGTCGGTGAAGATGCGGCTGAGCAGGCACATGCGGAGTGGCACCGTGAGGATGAGGATGAAGGGGAAGGCCAGGGAGGCCACCGTGGACATGACGGCCCACAGCACGGCCAGGCACGCCAGCTGCAGCCCGGTGAAGAGGTGCATGCGCAGCGTGCGCACCTGCGTGGGGATGGGCGTCAGGGACAGGGCACACGGGACCCCGCGTCCCCCCCACCTCACCCTGCTGTACCCCCACCCCCCAAGCCCCAAGGCAAAGGTCCCACAGGTGCCCTGGTGCCCCTGACCCCGCTACAGCCCAGGGTGCCCCAGGGGAGGGTCCCACCCGTGGCACCCCCCCACCCACCCCCCTTCCAACCTTTTTGACGTAGGGGACATCAGGGTGGTGCTTGGGGGGCATCAGCAGCAGCTGCAGGCGCTCGTAGAACTGGATGCCATTGAGGGAGGTGACGCCCATGTAGAGAAAGATCCCGAAGAGCACGGCCAGCGGGATCGCCTGCAGCAGCTTCCCGATGACGATGGACAGCCCTGCACAGAGGGGGTGTCCGCGTGGTGCCCCCTGCACCCCTCCCAGCCCCCCCCCACGGCTGCCCAGGCCCCGTGTCTGTGTGGGACCCCACGGGCAGCGCTGGACCTACCGACGAGCACGGCCACCAGCAGCCCGGTGACCCGCTGCTCCTTCACCTCCTGGATCTTGGGCTTGTCCCCGGGCGCCACGGCCTTGCTCATGACGGTGAGCGCGTTGGCGTGCGTGACGGAGCGCACCGTGGCCGCGGCGAGCCAGGGCAGCCCGAAGAGCGCAAAGAAACCGCCCATGGCCACAATGAGCAGGAGGTCGAGGTGGAAGCCAGAGCCCTTCTGCAGCATCCGCTCCTTCTTGCTGATGATCAGCCTGGGCACAAGGGCGGACTGTTGGCATGGCTCAGCACGGCACGGCACGGCACAGCTTGGCAGGGCTCGGCACAGCACAGCGTGGCTCAGCACTACACAGGATGCTATGGTTCAACACGGCACGGCTTGGCAAGGCTCGGCATGGCAGTTTGGCACGGCTCAGCACAGCATGGCACAGTTTGGCATGGCACAGTTTGGCATGGCTCAGCACAGATTGTCACAACTCAGCAAAGCATGGCACGGTTTGGCATGGAACAGCTCAGCATAGCAAGGCATGGCACAGCACGGCACAGCACAGCACGGCACAGCACGACACAGCATGGCATGGCACAGTAAGGCATAGCACGGCACGGCACCCCCTGCCCCGCTCATGCCCCGCAGGGTGCTGCCGGGCCCCCATCCCGGCCCCGCCGCGCTCACGTGGTGATCTGCGTCTCCATGAAGATGAGGATGAAGACGAGGATGGCGGGGAGGCCGCTGGCCACCATCATCCACACGGGGAAGTCGCTCTTCTCGCCCAGGGGGTTGATCACCCAGCCCCGCTTTTCCGGGGCCGTCACCGAGAACCCGCTGGGCACACTCAGCTTCTGTGGGGGGCACAAAATAATGGGGGGACGCCGCAGGCTCAGCCCCCAGCTCCCTGGGAGCGAGGAGGCCCCTGCCCCACACTAGGGCACAGGGGCACCCGATGGGGCTGGACCCCCGGGGTTGGAGGCAGGGGGGTGCCAGGAGCCCGAGGTGGCCGAGTGACACCCCCGGGCCAGGAGGGAAGGGGGCCGGGGGGGTCCCGCCATGGTGGTGGCCTGGTGCTGACCTGCGTGAAGGTGTCGTGAATGCTGTAGTCCACCAGCACCATCACCAGGATGGCAATGGGCACCCCGAAGTCCCCGATGAGCCGCCGAATCTGGAGGCAGAGCAGCGTCAGCCCGGCCCCGGCCCCTGCCCGCCCCCCCCCCCCCAGCTCAGCCCTGCCCCCCCAAAGCCGGGCTCACCCCAGGGCCCCGCGCAGCGCCCGCGCCGCCGTCCCGCCTGCCCCACGCACCCGTCCGGGGAAGAACCGGCTGTTCTTGAACTTGCGCAGGAAGAAGGCGATGAAGAAGGTGCCGGCCATGAGCACCAGCGACAGCAGCGCCGTGTTGGGCTGCCCGGTCACCTTGGTGGCGGCGCGGCCCCCCGTGCTGTTGGCCGGGGCCGTGCTGCCCTCCCGCCAGGCCTCCGCCTCCGTGCCGTTGTCCCTCGTGCAGTTGTGCAGGGGGTGCTCCTGGAAGATCTGCGGCAGCGGGGGGGGGGGGGGTCAGGCCCATCCTGGCCCCCGCACTGCCCCGCAGGCGTCCCGGACCCGTGGCTCACCTTGACCAGCTTGGAGAAGGTCTCGTAGATGAAGATGAGGGAGATGAGGAAGGCGAAGATCTCCTGCGTGAAGCGGGAGACGAAGCGCACCAGGAAGCTGCCCTCGAAGGCCACCATGACCAGCACGATGAGGATGAGCCAGAAGCCGATCCAGACGCGTCCCACCAGGTACTCCAGGTCATTGGAGGTGCAGAACTGCGGGCAGACAGACGGACGGGTGTCAGCAGCAGGGACAGCCCCAGGGCTGGGCGCAGCACCCAGGAACGTCCTCCCCGCTCTCACCGTGAAGAAAGCCTCCTCAAAGACCAGCAGGGGCCCCGAGAAGCCAATGACGAGCAGGGGCTGTGCGCCCAGCAGGCAGAAGAGCACGCCCTGCAGCGACGTGGAGATGATCAGCTCCGACACCCCGATCAGGTCCTGCGTCTTCTCCCCTGCGGGCAGGACAGGGTCAGGCACAGCAGGCGGGGACAGGGCTGCGGCGCCTCCAGGTCACCGCCTGTCCCCAGCGGCACGGCACCCCCCAGGGCTCACCCAGCAGCCCTCCGAAGGTGATGGCCGGGGACAGCGCGGCGAAGTAGATGAAGATGACGGCGGCGATGCACTGCGGGTTCAGCGCGTCCCTGAAGTCGCTCAGGTACTTGGGGTAGCGCCGCCGCACGTCCCGGATCAGCCCCCCGAAGGGCCGGCCCGTGCGCCGCAGGGGATCGTCCTCGTCCTCGCCCTCGCCCTCCACCACCTTCAGCTTCAGCAGTGCTGCACCCGGGGCAGAGGACAGGCGGTGAGACCCCGCCACGCCGCCCACACCCTGCCCGGCCCCGGCCCCGGCGGCACCTTTCTCCTCGGGGGACTTGGGCTCCAGCAGCAGCCTCCGCTCCTGCTCCTCCCTCTTCTTCAGCATCTCGCGCTGGAAGTGGGCGACGCTGCGCAGCAGCTCCTCGCCCTGCACCTCCGAGGGCGGCAGCACCACGCTGCAGTCCAGGAACTCGTTGATGGCGTTGAGGAGGTCGTGGCGGTCGTCGGCCAGGTAGGCGGCCTCGTGGAATTGCTGCGGGACGGCGGGGTCAGAGCCCCCGGTGGGGGACTCGGGCAGGGGACACGTCCAGGACACGTTCCCAAAGCCGGGACACGGCCCAGGAGACGGCGCTCACCTTGTCGGACATGAGGGTGGAGATGGAGCGCCCGATCTCGTGGTAGTCCATGTGGGTGCTGCTGGGCCCCAGCAGCACGAAGAGGAAGCGCACGGGGACGGGCACCTCCAGCACCGAGTCCAGCTCCACGGCCTCCTGCAGCCGCACGAAGGCCATGGTGGGCTGGTCCAGGAACTCCACGCAGCCTGCGGGGTGTCCGAGGGAGGCAGGGGGTCACCTTGGGGTGCCTGGCGTGTGGAGCCCCCCCGCCCCCCTCGCCGCCCCTCCATACCCACAAGCACCACCGTGGCCTCGGCGTTGTCCGGGATCTTCTCCAGCAGCTTCAGCTCGTGCTTGGACTTGGAGCGAGTGATGCCAGCCGGGGGTGGCGGGGCCAGGACCTCCCTCTGGGGGGGCAAAGCTCAGGTCAGGGCCCGGCCCGAGGATGAGGAGCGGCTGCAGGACAGAGGAAGGTTTGGGGGATGGGGGGGGGGGGGCCGGGCTCACCTCCCGCTCCACGTCGATCCGCGTGTCGTGCTCCACGGCGTGGCCGGCGATGAGGGGCTCGGTGACGGCCGGCTCGCTGCCCTCACCCACGTGGTTGGTGCTGTGGTGGTGCACGAGCAGCGAGCCCAGGCTGCCGGCCGAGATGTTGCGGGGGAAGGAGAAATCCTTCTCGTCGCTCGGGTGGCTGCGGGACAAACCCAGGGCTGTCAGCGGCGGCCCCACCTCTCCGCGTGCCCGAGGGGCTCCTGGTACCGGCTGCCCCGGGGGAGCTCCCAGTGTGGACTGGTGGCACCAGGGACAGTGCTGTCCCCGCGGCCATGGGGAGCAGAGCCCAGGGGAGTGGGATGCCATCGGGTCGCTGCCCCCTGCTCACCTGTGCTTGAGCAGCAGCGCCCGCAGCACGTTGGCGCGGTCCTCGGCCCGGATCTGGTCGGTGATGACCATCTGCTCCACCACCTGGTGAGCCACCCCCGGCAGAGTCTTCTGGTCCAGGTCGAGGAGCACGGCACCTGGGGCAAGGGAGCGGGGGCTGAGATGAGCGGGGCCAGGGGTAGAGCTGCCTGCACCCTGAGGGCTGCCCCCCTGCCCTACCGTGGGACAGGGTCTTGCGCAGCTCCAGGAGGCTGCGGAAGGACAGCGAGGCCACGTGCGGCTTGCCCCAGCGGTCCGTCTCCTCCTCCACGTCCTCCTCAAACTTGATCCAGCGCGCAGTCTCCTTCCACTGCAGCTCCTGGTTCTTGTCCACCACCAGCTCGTTCAGCTCCACGAACACCTGAGGGCACAGGCGGGTCAGCGGGGACACCCCATGACAACGGGGGGGCCGGGTGCTGGCAGCCCCCCTTCACCGGGCCCTGAGCGAGACGGCTCCTCTGGGGTACCCCGGCGAGCAGAGGGACCCCCGCCGTGCCCCAGCCCCCCCAGGTGCAGCCCCCACCTCGTGTGGCTGCCGGTCCTGCTTGCGGTGCCGCGTGCTCGGCTCCTTGTGGTCCTTGCTGACGTGGACAACCTGCGCCTTGGCGCTCTTCCGCACGAGGTGCCGGCGCACCCCGGGCACGTCCTCGAAGCGGTGACCTGCCAGAAACGGGGACGGATGGAGGTGGGGGCAGGCGGGTAACCCACGGGGGGCATGGCCCCGAGAAACCCCCACACCACACAGCCTTGGGGAGCCCGTCCCCAGCAGTAGCCCCCCGGCAAGCTCAGAGACTGCAGCTGGGGCAGGGCAACCACCACCACGGGGCCGGGGGCCACGGGAGCAGAGGGTGGGATTCAGCCCAGGAGGACGGGGGCTGCACTGGCGGGGGGGCAGCAGCGAGGAGCAGCCGCCCGTGCACCCCTTGCCAACGCGCTGCGGGTGCGCTGAGGGCAGAGAGCTCCCCAGGGAGCTGTTACGGCAAAAGCAGCTCGGGAAGTCCCGGAGCTGCAAGCTGGAGAGCCCCCGGGGGAGGCATCGCCGCCGCCTCCTGCTCCAGCTGCCCTGGGTGCCAGCCCCTGGCCGTGTGCCATTGGCGCTGCTCCTGCCCGTCCCCGGCGCCCGGCATCCCCTGCGCCCACAGCCTGTGCCCAGCCCTGCCCGGCCCCAGCCCCGCTTTAAGGTGGGCAGCGCGGCTCCATGCTCCCCAGCCCCCCTCGCCCAGAGCCCACTCACTCTTCATGTAGTCCAGGTCGGCCGAGGCCAACGTCTGGGCCTCCGACTCGTCCGTGGGCATCTTCTGGTACTGCGCCTGCTCCGCGCCCGTCATGCTGCCGATCCGCCGCCTCTCGTGGAGGTTGTAGCTGCGGTGCCCCGGCTGCGACTTGGCCGCGGGGCGGCCGGGGGAACCGGCTTCCTCGGCGGCCGGGCCCTCCGCTGAGCGTCCCTCCTCGGCATTGGGGCTGCAAGGCAGGCACCACCCCGGGGCTGAGCCCCTGCTGAGCCCCACGGGACGGGGTGCCCGGACCCCCGGCCCCATCGCTCACCTGGCTGCCCTGGCTGCCTTGGGGGACACGGCCCTGCAGGGCTCTGCCGGGGGGGCTGGCGGTGCCGGGGGTGCTGCCGGCTCCTCTGCGCGGCGGTCGGCTGCCTCGTCCTCCTGCAGGAAGAACTGCAACCAAGAAAAGGGGAGAAATTGGCTCCCACGGGCACCAGCAGCCCCCCGGCCCCCGCCGCGAGCAGCCCCCACCTGCACGGCCTCCGTCGGGGCACCCTGCAGCAGCTCCTCGGCCGAGCGCTCCGTCTCCGTGTCGCACGCCTCGTCCTCATCCTCTTCGGCCTCCTCGATGGTGGGGGTCTCTCCGGGGGCAGAGGCGCGGGGGCGCTTCTTCTTGCCCTTTTTGGGCGCTCCCTTCTTGCGGCGGGCGTCGGGGGGCAGGTGGGTGGAGAGCGGGTGGTGGATGTGGTGGGACGACTGGCGGTGATCTGGGGGGACGGGGCGGGGTGGGCGCGCTGCCGCCCCGCTCGCCCTGCCCGGGGGCCCTGCCCGCGCCCCCCGCCCCACTCACACTCGAAGTCCTCCTCGCCGTAGCTGCGCCCGGCCTCCTCGGCGTTGCGGGGGTGCGAGTCGCTCAGGATCTCCTCGAAGCGCTCCACGCCCAGCGCCTTGTTCAGGTCCTTCTCTTCCTCCTCCTCCTCCCCAAACTTGGGCGAGCCGGGGCCCAGCGCATCCTGCTCGGGCTGCGGGGGGGGGGCGCGGGGCTGAGCGGACACCGGGCCCCGCAGAGCCCCCCGGGCCCCCCGACCCCCCTGACCCCGCCGCGCCCCGACCGCGCATCCCCGCGCCCCCCGGTGCCGCGCCCGGTCCCTGTCCCCGCCGTGCCCCGGGTGCGTGCGCTGGGTGCGGGCGCGGCGCGCCCCGGCCGGTGCCGTCCCCACCTGAGTCATGGCGGAGCGGCGCGGAGCCTCCCCCGGTGCTTCCCCCGCGGCGGTGGCGGAGGCGCTTTATGGGGGCGGCCGGGAAGGTCACGGCGGCGGCGGCTCCGTCCCCCCCCCGCCTCGCCAAATATTGACGGAGCCGCCCCGCGCCCGCCTCAAGGTGACAGCGGCGCGCAGAGGGCACCGCGCCGCGCCCGCAGCATCCCGGCACCGCGCGCCCCCCCCGGGAACGCGCGGCCCCCCCCCGGGAACGCGCCCCCCCTGGCGTGTGCGCGGCGCCCCCCGCGCTGCGCGGAGCCTGCTCGGGGCTGCCCGGCCCCCCCCGCCCCCCCCCTTGCACCGTCATCCCGTGGGCACGCACGGCCCCCCCCACCCCGCTCCCCCCCCTTTCCCCCCCCCCCGGCCGTGCCCGGGTCCCTCTCGGGGCCGCGCCGCCGCCGCCGCCCCCCCGGAGCCACCCGGGGTATACAAAGAGGGGAGGGGGCGCTGCCTGCCCCCCCCCATAAACACCGCAATCCAGGCGACCCCAAAGGGCCCCGCCTCGGAGGGGCGACAGAAGCCGGGCAGAGCCCCCCCGGCCCCCCCCCCGGGGGCTCCCCCCACCCCCAGGCTGCGCACGCCGCCCCCACACCCCAACCACCAGCCCCCAGCTCTGAGCAGCCGCAGCGCCCTGCTGCCCCCCCCCCAGGACCCCCCCATCGCTGCCTGAGCTGTGAGCGCAGCCCCCAGCCCTGGCCCCCAGCCCCGTGCCCCCGCGCTGACCCCTGGCCGAGGACCCCCCCCCCGTGCCAAACCCACCCCCAGCCCTGGCCAGGCGTCACCGGGCACCGGCGGCCCCCTCCGTGGGTCCCCAGGGCTGAGCCCTCCCCATCCCAGGAGTGGCTCTGGCGGGCGATGCCCCACGCCCTGGGCACGCTGGTGGCACTGCCACCAGCCCGGCACAGCCACCGGGCCCCAGGGTGGGTGGGGACAGGACCCCGTGGCCGGGCAGTGCGGGACGCGAGGCCACGGCTTACCGGGGGGTGCAGGAGGAAATCCATGGGTGGCGGAGCACTGAGGAAGGGGCCGGGGCCACGGCGCCTGTGCCACCCGCAGGTCCCATCCCCGATCACGTGCCGCGGCGATGGGGCCGTGCCCAATGGCTTGGGGCAGCCATCCCGCGTGCCACGAGGGGTTAATCATTAACCCCGCTCCCGGCAGCCCCAGAAACCCCAGCAGAGCCCCGCCGTGTGCTGGCACCGGGCACGGCACCGGCACAGCCTCCCCTCGAGGGCACCCCCTGCCCCACAGCCCTGCCCCACGGCAGCGCACCGGGCTGGGCACTGTGCGGCCCCGCGCTCCAGCAGGGCCGTGCCGTGCCGTGCCATCCTGCTCTGTGCCGTGCCCCAGGACGCTGCGGTTCCCCAATCCTGGCAGACCACCGCCCGCAGCCCCCCGGCCCCCCCGTCCCCACTTACGCTCTCGAAGGCCGACGAGACGATGTGGTGGATCTCGGAGGACACCTGGGAGTGGCTCATGGCGCTAGCCGCGGGGCACCCTTAGCCCTTCTCCTTCTCACGAGGTCTCAGAGGGCGGTGTTGGGACAGCATAACCTGGGGGAGCAGAGCGGGGGGCTCGGGGGGGGCTCCCCATGAGCCCTGCGGGGCCGTGCGGCTGCCCAGCCGTGCCCCAGAGCCCCGCACCGGGTGCCACCTCCAGCCCCACGGCTCCAGCGGTCCCGGCAGGGTGCCACAAGGAGGGCGGCCGCGGTTGGCGTCCCTCCGGCTGACCCGGGGGGCCGGGGAGAGAAAGAAAACAGCGGGGCGGGCTGCGCCCCGGGGCCGGCTCCAGCCGGGTTTGTCTTGGCCGCGGGGTCCGAGCAGGAGAGCGGGCGCCAAGACAAACGCCGGAGGAGAGCGGGGCCCAGGGCTGGGCTTGGACGGGGCCCAGCCCCGCGGCGTGACCCTGAGCGCGCTGAGCCCGGCCCCGCGCGGCAGGGACCCCCAGACGGGACCCCCAGATGGGCACCCCCGTGGGCCCCCCCTCCGCCCTCCTTCACCCCAAACCCCGCCACGCTCCCTCCCCCAGCCCCGCGCCCCCCTTGCCCCCCACTTGCCCTCGGCAGCTCCCCGGGCCCCGGCTGAGCCCCGGGTGCCGGCGTGCCGGGTTTATTGCGGCGGGCGGCCCCACGTGACGGCGGGGACCGCGCGGGGTGGTGATGGATGACTGCGCCTCACATGGGCACCTCGCCACCCACCACCCGCACCCCTCCCGCCCCCCATCCCGCACCTGCGACCCCTCCGTGCGCCCCACGCCGCCGCCACCCCGCACGTGGGGTGCTGCTGCTGCCCCCCCCAGGCTTTAAGGGGGCTGCTTGCCCCCCCAAACCCCGCTGGCCGTGCCCCCAGGAGCGGGCGGGGGCCGCCCTGAGCCACTCTTTCCACACCGCGGGGTTTTCCAGGAGCCGTCCCCGCAGCCCCGTGCCCTTGCCAAGGTGGCTGCTGCCCATCAGCACGGGGAGGCGAGGCGGGGGCAGGCACGCTGCAGATAAGGACGGTGTTTGTGTGCCACCCCCGGCCCGGGGTGCCTGGCCGTGCCCTGCCAGCACAAACACCGCCACGGGCGGCACGGGGCCACGCTCCCCCTCTCCCCATCCCGTGCCCGGAGCCGCGGCCGGCCTCGAGGAGCTGCGGCCTCGGTGCCCGCCGGGACTGCGGCTCCTCGGGCACGGCTCAGCCCCGGTGCGGTGCCAGGCTGGGCACGGCGCGCTGCCCGCGGCTGCTGGCTCTGGGCTCGGCGCTGCCCGGCTCCGGCTGCTCCCTAATCCCGGGGCCGGAGCCAGAACATCCACATTCCAGCCGAGCGAGCGCAGATTAGCGACCTGCCGGGGCGCCCGCCAAACCGCCGCTGCCACTCCCCCGCCGCCGGCCGGGGCGCGGGACGGGGAGCCCCGGTGTGTGCCCCGCAGCCCCGGGGAGGGACACGGCCCACAGCCCCCACGGCCACCGCACCCTGCAGGGCATGGGGACGGCCGGGAGGCCCCAGTTCCCATCATCTCCGCAGGAACTGCGCGGCTCTGGTCTCACCAGTGCGCCCAGCGGGGCTGGAACTGGGGGGGGGACACAAGCTGGTGCCTGCTCCGGCAGAGCTGGGACCCCCAAAATGCCCCCTGTGGTCCCCCAGCCCCTAGGGCTGCAATGGGGGGAGGTGAAGGGGGAGGGGGGTGCTCAGCTGTGCCAGGCAGCACCCGGGCACGGGGATGGGGAGGATGAGCCACCGGGCAGCGGCAGCACGTGCTGAGCACGCAGGGGGGGCACAGGCACCCAGAAGAGCCCAGCTGGGCGCAAATGGAGCCTCCATGCGGCTCCAGCCCCGCTGGGGGGACACGGCCACGGTGCCCCCATCCCAGCCACACCGGGTGGGCAGTGCCGGGCCCCCACCCAGGGGTCCCAGGTCCGGTGCGGGAGCGCGCTCGCCGCTGCCCTGAGAGGCTTTGCTGCGTTAAATCCTGGCTGCAGCTCGCAGGGCTCAGAGCCTCGTAAACACCTCTGGGACTGCGCTGGGCAGAGCGCAGCTGGGAAGCGGCCCTGAGCCGTGTTCTCATGGCACCGGGGAGCCGGGAGCCGCACGCTGACCCGCCTCCAACCCCTGCCCCTTGCCCAAAAGGGGGGCTCTGAGAACCGCTCCGCTCCCCCAGCCTTCGGCGGTGCCACGGCGGGGACCCAGCAGGACTGCGGGGCCATCAGAGCCGCAGTGCCCGGCCACAAGGGCTGCGGGCGCCCTTGGCTGACCCCGCTGGAAAGGGTGACGGGCGCCAGGCCCTCTGCTGCCCCGCTGGGGCTGAGTCACCGCGAGCACGGCCGGGCGGAAACGGCTCAGCAGCTCGTGCCGCGGCCGGGAGAGGAACCACGAGGAGCCCTGAGTCAGGGCTCCCGCACCGGGCACCCCGCTGCTCCCGCACCCGCTCCCCTGCAGGCCTGGGAGGACGCCCTGGTCCCTGCACCCCCCTGGCCCCGCAGGATCCCCCCGGGGCCCGGTGCCCCCCGCAGCAGAGCCGGTCCCGCAGCGCTCTGCGTGCGGCGTTTCCCAGGCCCTGGCGCAGCACAATGGGCTGTTGTTTGCCGGGAACAATCCCGCTCAGATAAGCAGGGCAGGTCCCCGATAGGGAGACAGGGCTGCCAACACCGCTCTGCCCCATTAATTACCGCCTGGCTCCGCTCGGTGCCTGTGCGTGAGCCGGCTCTGCTGCTCCCCCCACCCCGGTGCTGCCGCCGCATTCCTGGGGCCAGCCTCGACCTGCCCGCCTGATCCTGCCTAAGACGATTACAGGGCATCGGCCCGGCCCCGCGGCACCACGCCTGGCGCTCCCTGGGGCTGCTCCCGGCCCCGCTGCAGCCCTGGCAGCACCCAGCAGCAGCTCCCTGGGTGCACCACCACCACCACCACCACCACCACCACCACCACCGCTCGTGCCCGTGCCACCGGCCACCCACGCGAGCCGCACGTTTGTGCCCGCAGGGAGCAGCCTTTGGTGGCCGCTGCCCCAGGTTTTGGAGCCTCACCCACAGCCTGGCCGCGGGACCCAGCCCAGCCACCGGGCCCGGGCCATGGGCACTGCCCCTGGCACGCTCCGGGTGCGCTGCCACCGGCTCAGCGCGGCGCTGGGCAGGCTGCGCCCTGCACCGGGTGGACGTGTCCCAGCCCCAGCCCTGCCCCGGGCAGCGGGGCGAGGAGCCCCGGTGCCACGGCCGGCGGCCCGGCCCCATGTGGAACCCAACGGGGGCTGCGTGGTGATGGGCACTGCTGACCCTGTGGGGCTCCTGGGGCCTCGTCCCCCCGGTGCCCCCGCTGTGAGCTGCCAGAGGTGACGCTGCACCAGGTCACCAGCAGCTGTGGGCCCCCCACCCCTTCTCATGGGGCTTTTTTTGGGGGAATGTCCCCATTTCCCATTCTCTATGCATGGTCCCCCACCCATCTCTGTGCGCATTGTGTCCCCGCGCACCCGAGGGGGACCAGGGACAGCCCCACAGAGCTGCACGCAACGCCCCGACCTGGTGGGACGGGGTCCCTGTGCCCCCATGGAGCGCAGGCTGGGGGTGCTGAGGGGGCCGGCACCGTGAGGAGCCCCCGCAGCCCCCAGCCCCACACCGTGTGGGTCGCGGGACAGCGTCCTCCCTCTGCAGCAGGGGGGCTGCCCTGTCCCTGTCCCTGTCCCAGTCCCAGTCCCTGTCCCTGTCCCCACCGCGGCACCAGGAGCTCGGTGGTGACGAGGAGCCCCCAGAGGAGCTCAGCCCGGGGCACCCAGCCACCCACCCCATCCCACGGCGGTGGGAGGATGAGGAGGAATTTGGTGGCTGCAGCCGCTCGCTAATCCCCCTGCTCCTGCCCAGGACATTCCTCAGCTCTCTCCTGCTCCGGGCGCAGCAGCCAGCGGCACCGCAGCGGCACCAGCCCGTGACCAGCACCCCAAAGCTGAGCTGCCTCCGCACCCCGGGGTGCCAGGCTCACCGTGCCCCCCGTGGGTCACCACGCGTCACCGGCACCTGCAGTAGCCGTGCACATGCGGCCACCCCTGAGCCCCCCACCCCGGTCCTGCCACCCCCCTGCTCACCTGGCGGCTCCGTGTGGCCCCGTGAGCCCCCGGCAGAGCCGGGCCTGCAGCGCAGGGGGTCGGGGAGCCCGCGCCCGCTCCCCCGGCCATGGCAGGCGGCGAGGGATGGAGCGGGGCCCGCTGCCACCAGCACGCCGCAGCCACCCTGGGCACGGCTCCCGTGGCCGCCGAGGTTCTCTAGACACTGCAACTTCAGAAGCCGCCACCAAAAATATCCTCCTCCCCCCGCTCGGTGACCTCAAAACAACCGGATCCAGGGGATGAATCACGGCGCTGCTCCGTGCGCACGCCCACACGCGGTGCCACCGCCACGGCCCCGGGGGGCCACCCCCCACCCCCCCGGCAGCACGGGGGCACGGGGCTGCCCAGGGGGCTGCTGGCCAGACCCCACAGAGCCCCGGCCCGGGGGGCTCCTGTCCCATGGCAGCCGCCAGCCCCTGCCCCATCCCGAGGGTGCGCCCGGGGAAGGATCAGGCGCGGCCGCGCCGCGGGCTCGGCAGGGTGCCCGGGGACAGGCGCCGGCACAGCCCCTGACCCCCAGCTGGGCTGGGGGCTGCGTGCCCCCCCTGCCCCTGCCCGGCCCCACTCACCCCATCGCCCGGCGCCGTGCTCCTGCTGCTCCTCGCTCCCGTGCTGGAGGCCCCGAGGGTGCCCCAGGGACAGGATTGTGCCTGGTGGGGCCGGGAACCCTTGGCACAGCCCCTGCTGCGGGCTGAGCTGCCCGCTGTCTGTCTGTCTGCCTGTCTGTCCGTCTGCTCTGTGCCAAGTGCCCGGACACCGCCAGGAGCTTTTATA